GCTGAAACTACAATACTCTGGCCACCTGATGTGAAGAGATGACTCCTTGGAAAAGACCCTGATGCTGGGAAAGATTGAAGGTGGGAGGACACGGGGACGACAGAGGATGAGACGGCTGGATGGCATCACCAACTCGATGGACGTGAGTTTGAGCAGGCTCCGGGAGTTGGTGATGGGCAGGGAGGCCTGGCGTGCTGCAGTCCCTGGGGTCGCAAAGAGTCGGATGCAGGTGAGCACCTGACCAGCAGCAACAATCAAGTACCTACCCACGAGGGAAGCCCTAACAATGCTTTGAGGCCGGTGAACACGGTGCTCAGAGTTCGTCTGGGGGTTTATAGTCTGTGTTCTGCTGCTTCAAGACCCGCTCAAATTATTTTTTTACTACTTATATTTGGTGTAGAAGAGAGGTTAAAATATTCTGTGACCCTGTAGGAGCGGACCCGTTTGCTTTTGCAGGGCAGACGGTCAGAGCGTGTGTAAATAAGTGTCCTGTTTGTCAGGACAGGTGTGTCCCTGAGATTTAATGTTGCATTTGTTGCTTCGTGTGTAAGGGGAATAACACGCGTGATTAGTTTTCTTTGCCCCATGAATTGGCTTCGTGGCCTTGCTATAATGTGCTGCGCTCAGCCCTGTCCGGCTCTTTGTGACCCCATGAACTGTAGTCCACCACGTAAGATTCTCCAGGCAAGAGTACTGGAGTGGGTTGCCATTTCCCCCTCCAGGGGATCTTCCTAACTCAGGGATCGAACCTGGGTCTCCCGTGTCTCCTCCATTGCAGGCAGATTCTTTACCTGTTGAGCCCTTGGGAAGAACTATATTATAAAAAGTTACAATAAGTTGTTATAAGTGACCACAGATCTGGTGGATTTAAAACCACAGACATCCACCCTCCCCAGCCCTGGAGACCAGACGTCTGAGGTCCAGGGGTCCCAGGGCTGGACTCCCTGCAGTCTCCAGGGGAGGGTCCTCCCCGCCTCTTCCAGCTTCCGGGGGCTCCAGGCGTCCGTCCCCGGGCTGGTGGCCGCCTCCCTCCCGTCTCCGCCTCCGTCTCCACGTGGCTTCTCCTCTGTGTCCATCTCTCCCCCCTCTGTGTCTTATAAGGACCCTCTCCCTGGGTTTAGGGCCACCCCATCCAGGAGGAACCTCATCTCAGACCCTTCACTCCATCACACCTGCAGAGACCTCATTTCCAGAGAAGGTCCCGTTCTGAAGTTTCAGGCTAGCACTTCAGCCTAACGCTTTGGGGGTGGGGAGAGATGATTCCATCGACCACACTCTCCTCCAAGCAGCATGTGATACATATTTTATTTGGGTGAACGCGCACACTTCACCTGCGATGAGTGCCTTCATACACGTGGAAAGTCCCCTCCCGAAAGTTCTCCTTGTGAAGGAGGAGAGAGTGTTGACACCTTTTATCTAGCACGGGCGAGACCCTCTCGCTTTGTCAGCGGCCAGAAGTTCCCGTAAAACATGGACATCAGAGTTGTTTTGCGTGAAGCCCATCCGGGGTGGACTGACCAAGCTCCCCGGCTCTGGGGGGCTCTGCCTTTGAGAAACAGCCTCTGGATGCGGGTCGCCTTAACCACCGCGGGCTCGTGACCTGGGTTGATGCATACACGTTCAGTTCAATTCAGTCACTCAGTCATCTCTGACTCTGCGACCCCATGAGCTGCAGCACGCCAGGCCTCCCTGTCAATCACCAACTCCCGGAGCCTGCTCAAACTCATGTCCATTGAAACATACAAACAGTTGCCATTTCAGAGCTCGGGGCACTTGGATCCTAGGGGAGAAAAAAGAGGCATGTGGTTAGCACCAAGGTCTGGACGTGCCAACGTTTGTGCGTTTGAGGAGTTGAGGAAAAGTTTGGAGGGGGTACTGGGATGCTGATCCTGGGACGATCAGGAAAGATTTCAGACCAGATGGGTGTCCCGTGTGGCTCCGATGGTAGAGAATCCACCTGCAGTGGGGGAGACCTGGGTTCAATCGATCCCTGGGTGGGGCAGGTCCCCTGGAGGAGGGCATGGTGACCCACTCTGGTGTCCTTGCCTGGAGAATCCCACGGACGGAGGAGCCTGGCGGGCTACAGTCCACAGGGTTGTAAAGAGCCGGACACGGCTGAGCGACTAAGCACGTTCCCCTTCTTGCAGTTGCATTGCCCTTCACGGCCCCCTGTGTAGTGTTGGATTTGTCCCGCGCGCCCCTGGCCGAGCTTCAGGGCTTGTAGAATCTTACCTCCCCAACCAGGAATCGAGCACACGCCCCCTGCGTTGGAAGCTCAGAGTCCTAACTGCAGGACTATAACCAGGAAGGTCCCTAGTGATCTCTTTCATACGGTTCCCTGAGAGGTTCTCTGCGTCTCCGACCACAGGACCGTCGTGAGGGTGTCTTGGGATGCGTGGCCCATCTGCCTTGTCCTTCTGTACGTCGCCCGGAGTTTGCTCAGCCTGAAAGGGATCGGGTCGTGTTTTCTGGCTGCCGCCTGAGCTTGGCTTCCTGCAGACATGACTGAGCACCCTCGTGGTTCCTGGAACGGCGGGAAATAGAGAGGTTTCCTTCCCCGGGGGAGGAAGTCGCTGCAGGGTGCGGGGGGGGGGGGATGCCGAGTGACTGGGTCACCAGCAGCTCACCCCAGACCACAGGCAGAGTCCGGGCGCCTTGGAGGACACTCATCTCCTCGGGACAGGGGATCCCCAGTGTCTGGGATCCGGGGCCTGATGATCTGAGGTTGCGGCTGATGTGAGAATAATACAAATGAACTGCTTGATGAATGTGATGTGCTTGAATCAACCCGAAACCATCCTCTCCCCCAGTCGCTCGGTGAAAAATTGTCTTCTATGAAAGCGGTCCCTGGTGCCTAAAAGCTTGGAGACCACTGCGTTGGAAGGATGGAGCACCCCCCCCCCCAACTTTGCTGTGGAAGCCTGTGAAGCGGGCTGGTTCCTGATGCTGTGTGTGGGTCTGAGTGTCTGTGTTTCTGGGTGTCTGTATGCCTTTACGTTTAAGTGAGTCTGTGAGCTTCATGTGTGCGTGTCTGCGACTGTGTACACGTGTCTCTTTACACCTGCCTCTGTGCGTGTCTGTGTGTTTACAGATCTGTGTCCACCTGTTTTTCCTGAATCCTCAGGCGTGCATTTAGATTATGGTGACTTCTCTGGTCGTGGACCACAGGCTCCACAGCTGTGGCGCAGAGGCTTGGATCTTTCCCAGCTTCTGGGATATTCGCAGACCAGGGATCAAACCCGCATCTCCTGCGTTGGCAGGCGGATTCTCTCCCGCTGGGCCACCAGGGAAGCCCTGGTTCTGCATTTATACATCTGTGTGTGTCTGTATTTCTTCCTCTCTCCGTGAGTCTGTGGTTATACGTGGGTGTTTATCTCTGTCCTGCGTCCGTGCGTCTATATTTATGACCGTGTCTGCCTTTCTCATGCGTCTGTGAGGGTCTGCATTTATATGCCCGATAGCGTCTACATTTATTCCCCTTTCCGTGTGTCTGTATTTATCACTGCATCTGTATGTCTGTATTCTTCATGCATCTGTGTGCGTCTGTGCACATATACCTGTGTGTCTGTATTTATTATTGCGTCCGTGTTTCTCGCGTGTCTGTGAGGGTCTGCAGTTATATGCCTGATAGCGTCTACATTTATTCCCCTTTCCGTGTGTCTGTATTTATCACTGCATCTGTATTTTTCATGCATCTGTGTGTCAGTGTGTGCCCCCCTGAGCTTCTCCGCACAGCTGTGTTCCCCGAGTCGCTCATCTCTCAGTGACCAGGGAGTCCTATGCCATCAAGCTTGATTTAGGGGTGATTATACATTGCTCCAATACTTTGACCACCTGATGCGAAGAGCTGACTCATTGGAAAAGACCCTGATGCTTGAAAAGACTGAGGGCAGGAGGAGAAGGGGACGACAGAGGACGAGATGCTTGGATGGCATCACCGATGCAATGGACATGGGTTTGAGTAAACCCTGTGAGTTGGTGATGGACAGGGAGGCCTGGCGTGCTGCAGTCCACGGGGTCGCAAAGAGTCAGACATGACTGAGCAGACACGCATCTGAATGCATTTCCTCAGGTCCGTCTGCCCTGTTCCTGCTGTGAGGGGTCCTCGTATTTCAGGGCATGAGGACCCATGTGCCTGAGGCGGCCGGGACTGCACAGAGATAATTACGACGCCGAGAACAAACTAGTCTCGCCTCCTAGGAGGACAGGGGGGCCACGGACAGGCCCCGACATAGAGGGTAATGCTGGAGACGTCGCTTCAGCCTCAGGGGTCTTAGGTACGACATACGAGGGCCCCAGAGCGCCCAGGCCCCCATAGTCCGCATCTTGGTTTTTATCATTCTGCGGCCACGCTCTTGTCCCCACAGAATTTATGCTCATGCGCGAGGCTCAGCCCACAGGGTGCCGTAAAATGGAGAAGGTGCCCGTCTCGAGGATGAGTCTTATTCTGTGGGTGAAGAGATTTGGGTGTCAACAAGACCCTGAGATCCTGAATTAAAACCTTAAACATTGGGACTGCCCCTGCAGGGAAGCGGGGCAGGTTCCATCCCTGGTTACAGAAGTAGATCCCACATGCTGCAAGTAAGTCCTGGTGCACGAAATACATAAATACTAAAAAAAAAAAAAAACAACAACCCTCAGTAACCATGAAGTGCTGCTGCATTGCAGGCAGATTCTTTACCATCTGAGCCACAAGGGAAGTCCACCTATTCCAATTCAGTTTGTTTAAATCTGAATGTGTTGCAATTTCCGTCTCCAGGGGATCTTCCCAGCTCAGGGATGCACCCCAGGTCTCCCGCATCGCTGGCAGATTCTTTACCAGCTGAGCCAGCGGGGCAGCCCCAGAATCCCGGAGTGCGCAGTCCATCTGTTCTGCAGAGGCTGCAGATCCTGGGGGCAGCCCTGAGAAGAACAGGTGGACGGGGGCACTCCCAAGCTCGGTGCCCCAACCCCATCCCCGGTGGGCACTTGGCCCCATCCTTGCAGCTTGACTTGGGTTTTCAGCCTTCGAGGCCGCAGATGCGGGACGAGGGCAGGGGTGATATTTGGGGACTTGTATTTGAGCCCCGGATATCGTCGCGGCTCGGAGGCACGTGACGGTCAGCACCCCGATACTTGACACCTCTTAGCAAGTTTACATGTGGGTTCATGCCCAGCAGCGTGTCCCTGTCCACCCCAAACTCCCCAGCTATCCATCTCCCCTGGCAATAAGTTCGTTTTCTAAGTCTGTGAGTCTCTTCCTGTTTTGTAAGTCCATTTGTATCATTTGTTATCTATGACATAGGGATGTCGTATGCTGTTTCTCTTCCTCTGACTTACTTCACTCAGGATGACAATCTCTAGGCCCACCCCTGTTGCTTCAGATGGCACTAGTTCATTCTTTCTTATGCCTGCGTAACATCCCGTTGTATATATGCACCACAGCTTCCTCATCCCCTCGTCTGTTGACGGACATCTAGGTCGCTTCCACGTCCTGGCTCTTGTACACGGCGCTGCAGTGAAGATATGGGCGCGTGTATCTTTTCAGATGCTGGTTTTCACCGGATAAGTGCTCCGGAGTGGGACTGCAGGATGAGATGGTCAGCTTTCTCTTTTTTGATTGAGTTAACAATGGAGCCTTCAAAACGGAAATAACACTAGGTTTCTGTTTCACTGCTTTCTAATTTTTTTTTTTTCCTGAGACGTGGGTTCATGAACTGTTTTGCCTTTTCAGTGCATTCCTTCTCATCCCGTTTCCCTCCTCTTTTTCCTCACCGCGCTGTGTTCCGGTGTATCCACTTGAGTTGCCTCCTCGGCTCTCCATTCTTAGGACCCGGGGCCTCTGATGCTCTGTCTTTCATGGAAATGCACATGCATCTGTGTGTTACAGTTTGGCAGAGGGTGGGGGACTGTACTCTGTGAATATCCCAGGTGATGGAAAGTGCTCGATACAGGATCTGGTGGGGTGCCTGCTGCGGTTCCTCTGGGAGAAGCACGTGCTGCTGTTTAGTTGTAGGTTTTTAGGTAAAGCTCCTGGAGAGAGAGAGGGAACAGGCAGGTAGTTAGCTAGGTACATAGGTATGTAGGTAGATAGATAGGCATACACGTAGACAGACAGGCAGGTAGATGGATAGATAGACAGTACATAGGTAAACAGGTAGATAAAACCGTAGGCACACAGGTAGGTAGACAGGTAGATAAATAGACACACAGATAAGTAGACAGCTAGACTCACAGGGAGATAGACAGAAGGATAAATACACAGGTAGGCAGACAGGTAGGCAGACAGATAGCTAGACAGGGAGATAAATACACAGGTAGCGAGACAGCTAGGTAGACAGGTGGATAAATACATGGGCACGCAGACAGGTATGTAGACAGGTAGATAGCTAGACAGGGAGATAAATAGAGAGCTAGGCACATGGGTAGCTAGACCAGTAGGTAGGTAGGTAGATACACAGGTAGGCAGATCAGTGGTACATGGTGAGAGGTAGCTGGATAGATCACAGGCGGGCGTGTAGCTAGATAGATAATACATAGAGATTACACATGGAGATGAAAGTGTGGACAGTTTATTGTGGGGGCCCTGAGGTCTTTGGCGTGCACCCCCTCAGGTAGATAGACAGGCAGACAGACAGACAGACAGGTAGATAGACAGATAGGCAGGTAGATAGACAGACAGGTAGACAGACAGACAGGTAGATAGACAGGCAGACAGACAGGCAGGTAGATAGGCAGGCAGGTAGGCAGGTAGATAAGCAGGTAGACAGACAGACAGACAGGCAGACAGATGACAGGCAGACGGGTAGGGGTCAGTCACCCCCTGAGCAGCGTTCTCCCCCACAAGCCTTCGTGTTCCGCGCCTCCTTTCTTTGCAGTTCACGTCCTCGGTCTCCACCCCCGCGGCCGCCCCCTCCCCGCCTGGCTCTCCCGCTGGGACAGGCGTCCCTTGTGTGCTGACCCCCGTCTCCCAGAAGCTGTGGGCCGGGCCGGGCGGGCCGCGCTCAGAGCTCAGAGTCCCGGGGGGGCGTCCGTCTCCCGCCGCGGTCCCCTTCTCCCGGGGACCCTTCCTCCGCCAGCCTCTGCACCTCAGCGCCGGCAACTCACGTTTCTGTTTCAGACGAAGCTCGTCGCGGCGCTTAGCACGAGGCCTCAGCCTTCTGCAGCGAATCCACCGTCACTACATCCACCCACTCTATGTTTCTGACCCCACTTTGTATTTATTGCTGTTTGGCCAAAGGCAGATGCATGTATGTGTGCTGAGTCCCTTTGGTCGTGTCCAACTCTTTGCAACGCTATATAATAACAGTGAGAAACTCTTTTGTTTTGCTGTTCTGCGTTGCTTATTGGATGAAGCTTCCTTCAGTCCGTGAAGCTTATTGGCCATTTTCCCAATGAGAATACATACAGGAAAATCACGTAAGCAAACATAGGCTTGCCTCTTTTTTTTAAAAAAAAGATTTAATTAATAGTTATTTTTCTTCTGGTTTTATTGTGTTATAACTGACACATAGCACTGGTAAGTTTGTGGACTTGAAAACCATTCACAGACTAAAAGTTGACAGCTACATTTTATTCAGGGGGTAGGGATTTTTTGGACTTCAACCCTGGGAAGCGGTATTTCAAATGACCCTGAGAGAAAAGGAGGTGAGGGGAGGAGACAGGTTACACAGAAATTTTGCAACAAAAGACAGGTATTCTGAACATCAAAAGACAATTGTAAAGAATGCCAGATATTCCACGGCTTCCCCAGTGGCTCACATCTGCCTGCATTGCCGGAATCTTCCTGCAGAATCTGCGTGCAACGCGGGAGACCCAGGTTCGATCCCTGGGTGGGGAAGATCCCCTGGAGCAGGGCGTGGCAACCCGCTCCAGTGCTCTTGCCTGGAGAATCCCATGGACGGGGGAGCCTGGCGGGATGCAGTCCATGGGGTCGCAAGAGTCGGACACGACTGGGCGACAAACGCATTCACATCCGGAGGCTTTGAAGTCGCCGTTGCCCGTTGCATCCTTGTTCATTGATGTGGCTGGAGATGCTCGGTCTCACACGGCCATCGTTTAGAAGACTGAGCTTCCTTCCAAACGGCAGGGACGCGGTGAGGAGGAGTCGCCGCCCGTGTGTGTCCCGAAGACTTCCTGAGACACTGTCGGTTCCTGGGGCCCTGTGAGTGGCCAAACAGGAGTCTGCACATCACAGCATCGTGTGAACACCCACGAGGAGACAGGAGGGTGAGACTGAAGGGCTCTTCTTCTTCCTGCAGGGGGAAAGTTGTAGGCATGTCCCAGAAGCCCCCAGGGGAGCTAGGGACCCCCTCCACACTCCAGGGACGTAAAGAGAAACATGCATTGCGTCTCTGCCCATTTCCCATTTCGGTTGCTCAGTCGTGTCTGACTCTTTGCGACCCCATGGACCGCAGCACGCCAGGCCTCCCTGTCCATCACCAACTCCCGGAGTTTACTCAAACTCATGTCCATGGAGTCGGTGATGCCGTCCAACCATCTCATCCTCTGTCGGGCCCTTCTCCTCCTGCCCCCAATCTTTTCCAGCATCAGGGTCTTTTCCAGTGAGTCAGCTCTCTGCATCAGGTGGCCAAAGTATTGGAGTTTCAGCTTAAGCCTCAGTCCTTCCAATGAACACCCAGGACTGATCTCCTTTATGATGGACTGGCTTCACACGCCCTGTCCCCTTGCTACTGATTTCATCAGACATGCCTGCAGCACTGTGTATAAAAAAGGTCGCCTATATTGAGTGGAAAAATAAATGAACAACGTATGTCCACATGAAACTATCACACCGTTGTTAATCGGCTCTGTCCCAGGATAGAATAAAACGTTTTTAAAGAATGAAATGGTCAGGGTCCATGTGCGGGTTGGAAAAGGATTTCCAGACATGTTTCTCAAGAAGAATTGAGTTTATTAGAGTGGGAGACGCTGTTAGAACAGGAGGCCGGCTCAAGGGAGAGCCGAACCCTTTCTGAGGCTACCGGCCAATTTTTATAGCCTCAAGACAGAGAAAATTCCTTCTCCTAGAAGCATGACATGAGCTGATTGGTTAGGATGCTAGATAGGGTGGATACTAGGGTGCGTATTTTACCTAACATGGGGTCAGGGAGCTGGCTGGTTTATGTCTGGAGTCTCATGGCAACAGTTGCTATGGGGCTTGGTCTGTTCCAGAGATTCTTGTCCTGTGACCTTGGTCCAGGGCCCCACAGAAAACGAATTTAGCAATTAAGATAATGCACAACTGGGGCTTCCCTGGAGGCTCAGATGGTAAAGAATCTGCCTGCAATGCAGGAGACCTGGTTTTGATTCCTGAGTCTGGAAGATCCCCCGGACGAGGGCATGGCAACCCGCTCCAGGACTCTCGCCTGGAGAATCCCACGGACAGAGGAGCCCGGCGGGGCTACAGTGCACGGGGCCGCAAAGAGTCGGACACGACTGAGCGACTAGCAGCAACTTATGTGCGGCTGAAACTATCACAGCGTTGTTAATCGTCTCTGAGTGAGTGTTAGTCACTCAGTTGTGTCTGATGCTTTGTGACTCCACGGTGTGTGGACGGTAGCCCCGCCAGGCTCCTCTGTCCATGGGGACTCTCCAGGCAAGAACACTGGAGTGGGTTGCCATGCCCTCCTGCAGGGGATCTTCCTGACCCAGGGATGGAACCCAGGTCTCCTGCATTGCAGGCGGATTCTTTACTACTGAGTCACCAGGGTATTCTGCAGTATAAAAAGAGAGGTTTTAAGAAGTAAAAAGAATTTAGCAGTTAAAAGAAAATGCACAACCGATAGGTTCAATCATGGTTTATCTGGCAGAGAAACTGAGGCATTAAGCCCAGAAGGCAGCCTGTCAGATCGCTCTGAGCAGCACAACCGATAGGTTCAATCATGGTTTATCTGGCAGAGAAACTGAGGCATTAAGCCCAGAAGGCAGCCTGTCAGATCGCTCTGAGCAGCTGCTGCCAAGACATGGGAGAGGAGGCAGGACGTGGAGGAGTTTCTGCAACAAAAAGCAGGTAGTGGGAACATTGAAGGATTTCTGTTAATGAAAGAGACCCGGCATATCCAGGTAATGAATTCACAGCTTTTCTTTGTATGGTTGTTGTTCAGTTGCTAAGTCGTGTCCGACTCTTTGCAAACCTCAGGGAT